ATTATAATTTAATAATAAAGGTCTTAATAAATCATCAGGTTGCCTAGGCTTGAGTCAAACTTCTGATCCTCTTGCCTCAGCCTCCCAGGGCACTGCAATTATAGGCATTTATCATCATACCTCTTTGGTTTTTAATTCTGGAGCTGAGTTGAGACACAAGCATGGGCTGCTGGCAACTATTTTTCTTGCCTAAGGTAGAATGTCAGATGAAAAGGAAGCCCCCACACGCAGACAGAAACTGAGCCATGAGGGAAGGCAGGATGCCAGAACTTTCACACAATGTCTGCGACCCTAGATCTTTTTTTTTTTTTTTTTTTTTTTTTTTTTTTTCTTTTATGTTTTTTTTTTTTTTTTTTTTTTTGGTTTGCACAAAAATGCCTTTAATGAAGTTATCTTTTAGAGTTTCAATTACCCTTACACTGGACCACCAGAGTATGTAGGAATTGGTGAGAACCTAGACAGTTACATTGAACCTGGGAAAATGTGCAGTAATTTCCACTGGTTTTGGAAGAATTCATGGTGATTTACTGTAAAGTAAACTTAATGTTCTTTATGTGGGAGAACCTATTACAGTTTCAAGGAAATATATTAGCCAGGAATGGAGAGCTGTTTAACCATCAAAATGTAAAAGGCTTCCGTAATTCCACTGGTATTTGAAGACGGAATAATTAGCATTTGTACCAAACACTATGAATATGGGAAAGGGGACAGAAAACTATTCAATTTAATCTGTATTTCCTAGACATCAAAGAAATCTACACAAATAACAAAGCTTGTATGTGTGATCAAGAGGGAAAAATATACTGCACAATTTTTTTATTTTTTATTTCTTGGCTAATCCAGTGATTGAACTCAGGTCCTGGCACTGGCCAGGGAAGCGCTTATTCCACTGAGGCATCTCCTCAGCCCCTACAAAAAATGATTGTAAAGACCTGAATACTGATTCCTACCATGGAAATGCAGAATATAATAAAATATATGTAAATGTAATGAAGAATTTCATGACAACGTTCTTCCATAAATTTTTTAGAAAATATTATCCCAGATTGAGAATTAATGTGACCCTAGATCTAATGACACTGGCCTGAGGTCTGCCTGGGTCTTGCTAGCTGTGTGAGGTAGTAAGTTGTCCTCTGAGTGAAGCTAGTGCAATGGGTTTGTTACTTGTAACCAGAAAGTTCAGATGATTATGTGGGCTCTGAGTTGTGGAGGACTACCTGAGTGACTGACCTTGAAGGAGGAGCAATTGTCTCCATTTTGGCTGAACCTGACCCAACTTCCATGTATGGGTAGGTACAGAGCTGGCTAAGACTTTTCCTTATCCCTTCAATTGGCTTTAAGCAATGCAAACTGGTCCAGCCGGTGCTGAGGGTTGTCTGTGAGGATGGCAGGTGTGTTTCCCTGCACCTCCAGCCCCACCCCATTGAGCTGGGAGGAGTGGGATGAAGAGCCAATGAGCCTCAGGATAGAGACTATGACTTCCTGGGGCTTAAACAATTACATGACAGAGTTGAAGCAGACAGAGCTAAGCACGGATCCTAAAACATTAGATACTATCTCAACTGTGCTATAGAGATTACTCTTTCTTATGTATTTGGTACAGGGTCTCACTATGAAGCTCAGACTCTCAGATTTGTAGTGATCCTTCTGTTTTCAGCCTCTCCAGTGCTGCAGCACTGGAACTATAGGTATGCATGGCTGGCTCAGGGTGACCATGGGTGGGGCTGGTGGGGCATGTGGTGCCAGGGATCGAACTCTGGTCCCTCTGCTTACCTAAGCACGTGCTTAGTCCACTGAGCTATCACGCCGGCACCTAGAAATTACTCTTTCTGGTTTTTTTTTCTTTTTTTGGCGGTACTGGGGATTTAACTTGGGACCTTGTGCTTGCCAGGCAGGTGCTTAAATCACTGAGCTATAGCCCCAGCTTTGATTACTCTTTGTGTATATCCCCCTCTCTGTATATTGCAGAGCTGATTTCAGGCCTCCTAGCTAGCCAGCTCATGACACTCATGTAGTTCCTGTCTCTGCCACAGTCACTCTTCCTCTACCCACTCCCTTCTTCACAAATGAATAAAATCCTGGCTCAAGCCTAGGTCAAGGCCTTTGTTCTAGATAGCCACCATTGTGGCCAGACATAGGACCCACTTGATTCCCTACATTTTGGGTATAGTACTGTGTCTTTATTTA